GAGTTCTGTTCAAATGATGCTGTTGGTCTGTGTATAGATTCCTCATGAACAAAATTGAGTGTTCTGGAATACCCGTTCTTCACAGTGATATCCAAAGTTTGTCATCACCCAGAGTCAAATGCCTTTGCATAGTCAACAAAACACAAGTAAACATCTTTCTGGATTTCTCTGCTTTCAGCCAAGATTCCTCTGTCATCTGTTTAGGCCATCCGAAGTACTGCTTTCTCTCACTGTAAGGCAGGATTTCATACATGAGGAGACTTCAAAAAGTTCCATAGGTGTTGATTGTGGTATCCCTCCTTCCACATCCTCTTCTGGATCTGGTTTAAATTTCTGGCAATTCTTTGTCAATGTACTGCAAAATTGTACTTACATGTGATACTAATAATATTGTTTGATAATTTCCATATTCTGTTGGGTCAGCTTTCTTTCAAATGGTACAAATATGAATCTTCTCCAGTAGACTGACCAAGTAGCTGCCCAGCCTCCAGCTTTTCAGTAGTTTATTGAAACATTTCAATTAGTATTCCATCATTTCCTAGAGCCTTGTTTTTCACCACTGCCTTCATTGCAGATTGGACTTCTTACTTCACTACCATCAGTTACTTCTTGATCACATGCTCCCTCTTGAAATGGTTGAACATTGACTAATATTTTTTGGTACAGTGAATACAGTGTATTCCTTTGTTTTTTTTTTCATTACTTTCTGCATTGTATAATATTTTGGCCAGAGAATCATTTAATTCTTAAGAGTCCAGTATTGCAACTCCAGGCTTGAATTTCTTTCTTTATTTCTTTTAGCTTGAGAAATGCTGAATGCGTTCTTCCCTGTTGTTTTCTGTCTCAAGGTTTATGCACACTTCATTATAATACTTTGACTTCTTAAGCTGCCCTTCAAAATTTTCTGATCAGCTTCATCTGGAAGAGCAAGTTTCAAAATTTCTCCTGACCTCCATTTTGGTCTTTTCTTTCTGTCCTGTCTTTTTAATGACATTTTCTTTCTAAATTCAGGTGATAATATATATTCAAAGTTGTATTTTGGCACTTGTGAATTTGTTTAAATTTTCTTAAACTTCAACCTGAATTTGCATATAAGCCATTAATTTCCCCCCCTCCCACTTTTGGATTCTGACCTTGTTTTGTCTGGTAATATTAAACTGTACCATTGTCTCTTTCCATTTGATTT